GTTCTTGGCAAGAACATATCAAGAACAATGAAGAACATCCATGAAAACCCATAAGAGCTCCATGAACATTCTTCACCCAAAAAACATACCAAAACCACTCAAACTTAAGGGAAATAACATACAACCATACTAGGGTACATAGGGGTTCCAAAAGTCACTTTAAAACACTTTTAACAAGTCAAACAAGAACCCAAAAATCCACCCTTTGGATTTGGCCGAATTTCCCCAAAAACATGGCACCAAATTTTAGCTCCAAAATTCATGCTCATATGAACTACATCTACAACATTTGAGATGGCAAATTTTCTAACAAAATTTACATTCAAAGAAGCAAGAATAAAGCTTGTAACAATTACAACATTCAAATCACAAACTATGAACTACAAAACCCAAAAGGATTCACCAACTACTAGACTTAGGCTCTTGATACCACTTGAAGGAAGATTTGTGAAAAACAAGTTCATTTGAGCAACATCAACAACATGCAATTAACAATTAAAAGGCGGAATCATGTTTATATGCACTCAAAAACAAAACTTAACCCATGAACTTCAAAGCCTAGTAGATAGGTGAACCAAGACTCAACTCAAAACAAAGTGAGTTGAGAAATCAATACCTTTGTAGATTCCTCTTTGCATAAGCAAAGGCTAATCACCCAAAGAGAGGGCCTTCATTCCTTGCATCTTAGATCCATGGATTTGGATGGATGAAAAGATTTCTCCAAGTTCCCAAAATTGAGAACCTCTAAGTCTCCACACCAAGGCATATTGTAGAAGAAATGAGTGACCTTGAGGAAGTAAGATTGCTAGATGTTTTCCTCAAGGGTGGCCGGCCTCTTTGAGAGCAAAGGGAGGTTTGTGTTCTCATCTTTACTCCTTAGAAAACCCTAAGGATGAAATGGCTATAAAGATGTCTTTATACCACCTCACAATGGAGTGGCAAACTTGCAATTAAGCCAAGTTCACTACCCTCCTCTAAATGGCCGGCCATATGGGATTTATTGGGCTATTTGGGCCTTTGTGAATCATTATTCATTAAGTTGTCATACAACTTAAGTCAATGGATTTGACGTTCGAAGCCCATTGGGCCTTAAGGTCCAAAACTATCCCGAGGTCTTTTAACGAACTTATTCGTTTGATTAATAATCATATTAATTAATCCTTGCCATAAACAATTAAACCATTTAATTATTCTTACTCATCTTCGTTGAATCTTCAATCTCTACCTTACACGGTGTACGATCCATTAGGTTCCTTTTAGCGAGGTAGTGGGCGATTCAAACTCTTTCAAATCGATTGTGAATTGAAACTTACTTTCAATTCTCCCGTTAGTGATAATACACTTTTAGGGCTTCCACAAACCATGGTTGACGCCTAGCAGCATGTCATGGTTACCCAAGCTAATCAGAAGAGGTGGAGAACCTATTCAGTTTTAGGATTACAAATGCAATACGGTCTTTCTCTAATACAATACTCTTGACCACATTGTTTGGTTTGATAGTTTATTCATGTCTACTATCCAATGTGAGTCTTGTGCTTATATGATTACCTTGAATGTGATTTGGAACACATTCCTAAATCTCATTCATACTTTGGCCAAAGATTCTTAATCATATCATAGAGTATTCTCCCTCAAACAGTTTGAAGGTTAGAGATCCCTTGTTGCGCATTCACTTGCCTCCATGGCTAAGTGGCTTAACCCCAACGATGCCATGGACACCCTCCTGATGGAGTGACTTTGACATAATCAAAGATTAAGGACCTAACCACAAGACAACTGTGATGCCTCAGGTCAAAAGACTAATTTGCATTATCCCAACCATGAGTTCTCATGTGACATGAATATGAGAACTCTTCGTTGATCGTGTTCAGTGAACTCATTCTCTATTGAGCACCTACGTACTTGTCTTGATGTCACACACACCAATGACTCGAGACTAGTCACTCTCCCTGAGAGAAGACATAGCACGTACTGATCTTAACGGACTGTCAATGCCCAATTGACAATCCTATGATCAGGAACGTTTAGGATGTGTCAACGAAAGAATGGTCTCATGAATCTAACTTCTTTAGATCGCATTCTTCCAATCACATATTCCTTGGACTTATCGTTTAAGCATATAACATTTATATGAGACGGCTCAAACAATAATCTTTGCCCTTTACATTTAAACTACATTAGTTTGAGATGTCCGTAAAGTATCATCATATGATTGGTTTTAGGGCACATTTCCAACACCCCACAGGTCCAAATCTTCACTCACGCAGTCTGGTCTTCATCATCCTCTTCGTTCCATCAAAACCACCACCGTAAGATCTGCACTCTCAAGGCAAATTAGGGATTAGATTAGGGTTTTCACATAACTTTTTCATACAAACCCACAAATCCAATTTGCCTTCTCATCGGCTATGAATTCAAATAATAAAATAAAAGGAATACCTTAGGGTTTCTGAATCTAAGCAATTTCAATCAATTCCCCTTTGATTTCCTCTTCCTTCTCATCGACCACCAAAAGGTTCTGCAAATAGAAAAATTAAAAAAGAAAAAAAGCATTGATGATTGATCTATAATTTCAAGTTCTAGATAAAACATAAAATTTCAAGTTCACAAAACACCTAAATAATCCCAATAAAAACCCTTGCAGCAGAAACTTAGTCGACCTCGTCGATCCTGGGACCTAGGCCGCTGGCACTAGAATAGCATCATCATCAACTAGCCGGCATCGTCGCCAGCAATTCCCAAGTTCACCTTGTGATTGTGTTACAGATGCTCTTCGACTCCATCTTGTCTTCATCTTGTTGCCTTCTCTCCCTCTGACAGATGAAAAATTGAAGCAATAGAAAAATTGGTTCTAGGATGTCGAAAGAGCGAGATGGAAAGGAGAAGACAAAATATTAATTTCAATTCTTGCTCAAAACCAGGGCAACCACACTCTTATATTTTCCACATAGCAATTTTGTTGTTAGTCTCAAGCAGAAATCAAATAACTCAACAAATTAGACACCCCAAATTTCAATCTTTATCACCGACCTTCAACCCAAACCCCAAATATTTTTCTTCACTAAACCAAAAAAAAAGAGCCAGGAGCATAAGTAGAGAAAAGGACAGAAGCAAAGAGAAAGGAGAGAGCACAACACCTAGAAAGAAAAAAGTGAGAAAATCAAGACAGAAGGAGAGAGACGAGAAAATCATTAAAAAGAAAAAAAAAAGAAAAAACAATAAAGAGAGAACATACACGCAAGGAGAGAAGACAAGAAAAAAGAGAAGGAAAGCACTACAGACAGGAGGAAGAATAGAGAAAACCATAAAAGGAGAGGAGGAAGGAGAGCACTAGCATGTAGAAAGAGGAGAGAAAAAGAAATTTAATCAGTAATCGTAGGATTGCATCGAACGACCAAGATCAATGGGAGAAACGGGTCCAGATGGGGCCCTGTTCTTAGGACTGTTGGACCCGCCCCGCCCCGTTAATTTCTTGAACCCGCCCCGCCCCGCCCCGCCCCTTTTATGTTTTACAATTTTCAGACCTGCCCCACCCCGTCCCGCGGGTCTAGTACCCGTTTGCCCACCCCTAATTTATACAATCACAATTAAAAAATATCCATAACAGTTTTTTATATTTATAAATGGTGTTAGGCTCACTTCTTAAAATTTGTTAGTTGTTTAATTTGTTATTGACTATTGAACATAAATATATATTTTGTTTTCTTAATTATTAAATTTGTGTTGTTTTAATTATTATGTATGATGAATGAATATTGATGAACGCGATTAATTTGTTATATTATAATTTGAATTATTATTTTTAATATATGCATTTTTTATTATACGTTTATTATATTTCTCCATGTCCTAACCATTTCTATATCCTTATTTTTTGAGATTTGATGTGTTGCCTTGTCGTGTGTCGCCGTATTTGCGTTTGTGTCTGTGCAACCTAGCTACAACCTACTTTCCAATTATTCTCTTGGTAGTTCAAACATTCCCCTTGTATTTATAGCTTTGCTACTTTCCTTTATGGTATTGATTTCCATGTATTAAAGTCCCTTCTCAAAGCATTGCTAATTAAGTAACTACAAGAACTTGCCCGACAGACATTGGAACTTACACGAATAGGTTTAAACTTTGTCCAATTACTTGTATTTATCAATTATTTTTAAATTATTTACCTTTCATGTTATTTACTGTCGTTTTGACTAACACCCCAGACGGGTTTGCAAGCATTTTTCTTACCGCTCTTGCTTTATTTCACTTTGCTTCTATCTTTACTATTCTTATAAGGATTGCAAACTGATTTGGACCAACACTGATCAGTTTGTGGTCATTACTTTGACATGCAAACTGAAAGTAGTTGGAAAAAACAAAAAATGAATTCAAACGAGCCATAAAATTTTCTTTTGATTCAAGCGATTTAAACTACGAAAAAATGAATTCCAACTTTGATGCTATTCAACCGTAAAAAGTTGAAGACAATAACAACTCCAATGCAAAGACTAACCGGCCGGTGAACAGTGTCCCATCATCAGTTTTCGGTTTTCGGTTGTGTTGAGTTATCAATCAATTCTTGACGCCGATCAACAAGAGAAACAGAAAGTAGTAGGCAGATCGGAATTTCACATCATGGTTGTTTCTTCCCGTCACCTACAACCACCCTTTTCTTTTCGGTTGATAATGCCGGAGCTTGACAAATGCATCGTCCAAAGCAATGAGCTTAGATCCCAAGTGGTTAAGCACGTTTAGTTTACCACCACATCGAACTATCTACCATTAGATTAGACGCTTCCACTTTTACCACACTGAGTAGCATAACTAGATGTAGATGTGAGTTAGGTCAATTGATCAGGACAATAAGTTCACCTCTTCCACCCAAGTTTGAATCCCCCGTCGTTTAAAACATTGCATGAAAGAAAAACAAATAACAGAGCTATTCAAGTGGGATGAAACAAAGATGAACTTGTGTTCATTTTCTCTCCCACAAAACATCGTTAGGTTGTACAAATGGATTCATCTGAACAAGTTTGAATTATTTTTAACCTTCCAAGATTAAACCGGGACAATGATTCGACTATGTTCGGTCCAAAGTAAACGTGAAACTCCATGCCTAAGATTTACATCACAAATTATTCCTGTGTAAAGGCACAAACTGAAAGCAGCTAAGATAGAAACTAGGGTTACACCTGAAAATTTGAAAAGGTTATAACACGAAATGACCCCGTTGATGCACTTCACGCCTCAGTAGAGTAGCTCTTCAAAAACGGGGTCTATCTGTTGTCCCCATTTCCCATTGTACAACTCCAATAGCTTCTCAGCTGGTGTTACACCTGCAATATAATCAACGTTCAACGTAAATGCCTACTTCCCTCAAAAAAGAAACAGAAAAACCTATAGAGAGTATAGCACACATCCTGGCCGATGATAGAAAGTTGGCTTAGCTTTTCGAAACAAGAGAAGAAAGATAATAAAAGACAGGAGGGAGGAACTCCCGTTTACGTACCAGCTCTAACCAACTCCACCACCTCATTCAAGAATCCTGTTTCTTTGAAACCTCTCCTTTCCAGGCCATCCTGCAGAAGAAAAGGATGCCATAATCTAGTCATGCACAGACACGGGCTCATGCAAACACAAAGAGAGCACCGAGAGAAGCCCAATTTACCTTTGCCAACGTTACAACATCTTGAGCTACATGCTTGAGCAATCCATCCCTAAATGGTGTCTTTAGACCAGTTAAGGGGACCTACTAAAAGTAACTTCACAATTAGGTTTGCAAACTTAATCACTGTTTAGAAATGTACGAGGTCTGTATCGCTAATAAAGAACAGAAGTATGAAATTTATCCTGAAGTTCAAACTTCAAACTACATGAATAAATATTGAATTGAAGGAATGCTAAACTAGCGAATTCCAAAGCTGTGTTTAGCTAAAGATAGAAGGTTGGGCACAGGTTCAGAAGATTGGCAAACGAAAAGGAAACTAGTAAAACATATCGCTAAATCACTTCAACTGGACTTTAACCAGAATGGCTAGGCCGTTTATTTTCCCTAGCTACCCAAACTGTCATTCCATTCCAGCACCAAATGTCTCTTCCTGGGCTCCAAAAGTGGCATAAAACAAGTTACACGCGAGTGCAAACAATTTGCAACCTGACCACATTATATGCCGTAAGTGCGTATGTTAACCACTCCACAGGGTATTTAGCATCACCTTATTTCTCAGCAACTGTCTTTCTTCAGGAGTCCAATCAGCTGTAAGGTCTAATACGTTTTGTAGGGAAACCTCATCATACAATATACCTACCTGAAATTTGAGACAAGCAAAATCAGCTGATGTCACTGGATATTAGTAGTGAATAACATAACCTGAAGAAGCTAGATCGCTGTCCTTCAGATACGATTTAGCAATACACAGACAACAAATGAGACACCAAGGACAAAAAGGAAACACCAGTAGAATAAAAGGATGAATATTTGTTCTATCTGTACATAATTAACAGAAAATAATGTTAACAAAAAGTGAAATGTAAACATACGATTGTGAGTCAAATGACTTACCCAAAAGGCGGGCAAAGCACATAATCTCCTCCAAGGCCCTCCATCAGCACCCCTCATCTCCAAGTATCTCTTTAGCCTGACCTGAATGTAAAAATAGATATCATATAATTAGGCAATAGTATAAAAAACATGTGATAATTTGATTATTGATGCTCGCATGAACCTCAGGGAATATGGTTGTCAAATGATTCTCCCAATCGTTCAGGGTTGGCAATTCACCCGGAATGCAAGGAAGCTTCCCTGCCAAAAAGTCCTGCATGTAGATAAAAGTACCAATGTCTTCAATAAATTAGTAGCTTCAGACAGACAAAAACAGCTACAGAAGAAAGCCTAAAATTAAAAGACCATAATGGATAGATGGAAACCCGGAAGCTCATTCCAGCGCAATCGATATACTTCTTTTGCCGATAAACAAAGTACATGGGAACATCGAGAGCATAATCAACATACTGCTCAAACCTGCATAACAAATAACTATAATAAACAATACATACAAAAATAACTGAACCATTCTCCATTCATTACATATTATGTGCAGAGCTAAGTAGTATAGCTACAAAAAGGGTTAAATAAAACCACTCAAAGTTAAATAATATATATATATATATATGTATATATCATTAAAAACCATTTTAAATTCATTATACCATTCATGTACTCTGTCACAGCTCCATAGTTCATACAAACCCATTCGTATAAAAAATGCATTAATCAAAACACAAAGCAGACATAACTCCGGTTTTAGTAGACTCAGCAATGTCTTACACGACCTGCAAGATACTAATTTAGTATTACGTTTTTCATTTGATTATTTATTGATTTAAAATATATTTTCTTTAACGGGTAATGAGTCGAGTCATATTATTCGTTAATATTAATGGGTCTATTTCGGGTTGAGTCAATTTTGGATCAGGCCATATTACCTGTTTATTTTAACGGGTGTTACACGAAACAACCCGTTAAGATATTGGGTATGTCATAAAAACGACATGAACACACAGGAAACATGACACAAATGCCAAGTCTAGTTTTTAGCATCCAAGTTGAGCAGTGATAGAAAATTTGACCAACGAAATTATATTTGGTAAACAGCTAGAAAATTGATGTTATCCAAAATTGCACATAGACAAAATATTGATGGAGAATGTTCTCTCATCAGGTTTTGATTTGTTTGGCTGAGATTCTTGAGAACATTATATTAAGAACAAACAAATAAGCAGATAATGCATAAAAAGGAGATCAAGGACCTGTTTCTTAACAAACACCAGTGTTTTGAAAAACGTGCCCCAAGGCACGCCTGGCGGCTGTGGAGGCCAGGCGGGGGTGAAATCACCTCTACCCAGTGGGAGTAAGCAAAAACTCACCTAGACGTGGTTGAGGCGCGCCTTACGGCGTTCTGAGGTGGCCAAAATCCTTGCCTAAAATTTGTTGGGGACCCTCGAAATCGAAGGCTGGGCCTTTGAGGCTCTGCCCTCTGGGTTTTTTTCTGTTGCAAAGGCTGCCCTCTGGTTTTCTTTCTGTTGCAGCGGCATCATCTTCACGAAGAAGACGACCGTGAAGAAGAAAAGAAATTCTTTTTAAAAGACTTGGTTCAAAACAACGCTATTTTGGCCAAGTCTTTTATTTATTTATTTTTTTTTATTGACTTGGCCCAAAACGATGTTGTTTTGGCCAAGTCTAATTTTTATTTTAATATAAATTATAACCCCTAGCAGATCCCCTTCTTCCCCATCCTAATACCCGATTCCCATATTCCCATCACAATTCACCCAATCCCCATCCCAAATTCCCCAATTCCCCAATTCCCCAAACCCTCAATCCCATATATCAATTTTACCCCAATCTCATACTTCAATTTGTTTCAAAATTTCTCCACACCACCACAATTTGTTTCAAAATTCAAGTAAGTTTTTTAGTATTCTAATCTCAATTTGGTCTTGATTGCTTGTTTGATTGTTGATTAATTTGTTTCACAAAGTATTATATTTATTAAAAATTTTGGGTCCCGTGAAACTTTGCCTCACGCCTCAAGGCTTTTGCCTAGGTGGGGCTACCCAAGAAATACCTTCGCCTTTTAAAACACTGACAGACATTGAACTTTCTATACTCAAAGTGATGTTACCTACCATCAAATACTTCAATTCTGAAGTACAAAATTCTAGTCACAGATTGCAGGAACTAGTTCATAAGTACAAATAAAAGCCTTAACCCCAAAAAAAGAAAAAAAAAATACTTACCCAAAAGAGTCATCAAAAACAAAAGGAAGCATGCCAGCACGATTATTATCCGTATCGGTCCAAATTTGGCTGTTACAAGAAGTAGAAGAATCAATACAGATGCTGTGAACCAAAAACAATACAGATAACACAGAAAATTTAGTAAGCATATATGACAAAAACATGAGAACAATAGAAACCTTCTCATGCTTAGAAAACCATTTGGCTTTCCTTCAGTGAAAGGTGAATTTGCGAATAGAGCTGTTGCTATCTGTTTCATTTGTTGATAGGTTAGATACCACATAAGTAACAGTTTTACATCAAAAGAAGATACCACAATTCCTCACAGGCTGCAAAGCAAGACCAGCACGAAATTTCCTTATCATGTCTGCTTCAGAACTGAAGTCCAGATTAACCTACAAAGGTGGGGAAAAATAAGGTTTTGCATGAGCTACAAAGATCTGACTCCGCACCAAATCAGCGGAATATCAGATTATGAAACCTAACCACGTGTAAGAAGTATTGATCAAAAATACCTGATTAGTAGTAACAAAGATCTTACCTGTACAGTGCAAGTTCTGAACATCATATCCAGTCCAAGAGTGCCAACTTTTGGCATGTAATTTCTCATAATATCATATCTTCCCTGAGCCAAAATACTCAATCAGCATGCATGTAATCGAAGTACAGAAAAGTTACGAAAAGTGGCGTTATTAAAGCTATAACTAGACCCAATCGGGACACTGAGTAAATGCAGTATGAAATTTCAAAAGCAGCATTTGATATCAGCATCTAACAATAAGAGTTACTGTAGAAGAGTGATGTGCTTTGGTGTTCCTTTTCCTCATTATAAAACTACTAAGACGCTGTTTCAAGAAAATTATTAGAAGTTCTCCATCAACTAAAGCTGCAACCCTTCTCTAGCCCTCCAATAACCAGTAAAGTGGAATAAAGAGGCATGCTTCAGCAACTGTGCGGATGTGCCATCTCAATTTCTAATCTAAACAAATGATTGATTTGTGCATTGCCATATGGTTGAGAAGAGGATTAAACAGTACCTTGGGCATTATAGGTATGTCCTTAAGTCCCCATTTAGGCTGAAAACCGATTCCAAGAAACCCGATTCCCATTTCCTCTGAAAGTGCTTTGACCTAATAAAAGTTAATAGAGTGCAAATTTACTCACCAAATACAAAACAACAAAAAAAAAATATAACAAACAGAGACTTCATTTGTCAACTCGACTTTACTTAAAATCAATTTATTCATGAAATATGACCCAAGTTTGCATGTTAATTCCAAAGTTCTGTTGTTCTTCTGACCTGATAAAGGTGTGAATTGACTTCGGCACAAGTTTGATGCAGAGTCTCAAGAGGTGCGCCACTAAGTTCAAATTGACCTCCAGGTTCCAGTGATATGCTTTGCTTACCCTGTCCAATAATGTTATACTTTTTCAAATCACAAACAATAAATGACAAGGGTTTCATGATAACTGATTTGACATGGAAATATGAGGATGCAAGAGTTATGAAGGGTTTCGAAATATTACAATCCGTATGACAGATAATAAAAGGAAGTAAAACAAATTACAAGCATCATCTGAAGTTGAAGAGTAAAAAAAGATTACCTGTTTGAGGCCAATAATTTTGTCGCCTTCCATAACTTTTTCCCAATCATATCTCTCAGAAATTCCATTAAGCAACTCAGCTATTTGTTCATATTTTATAGGACGTAAGGTTTTTCGTTCAAAACCAAATTTCTCATGCTCTGTGCCAATTCTGAGGATCAAGCATGTTTAAATTTTCAATATGATTGGTTATCCAACAAACTAGGTATATAGAGGGAGGTAGCATACAGACATAACATGCTGAAGTCTCACTGACTTTCAAACCACATTGTATAAACAATGAATCACGTAACTACACCACTCTGGTAAATGTGTAAATAAGGCAATAAATACCTCCATTTGTCCTTAGACTTGCATCCAGAGGCAAGATACGCTACAAGATCCTCTTTTGTCAGTGGCTCAGTAGCAATTACTGCATCTTCTGTTGGAGGACTGGCAGCAACTATCACACTATGCCCTCGTTTCTGTCCTACTCCTGCATTGGCTATATGCAAAATCTGTGCCTTACTAGAAGAAGAATATAATAGAGAAGAGAAGCCAATGGAATTTTCCTTCAACTTGGATGCATCTATACTGTTTGCCCTACTGAAAACCACATTTTTCCCAGATTTATATCGAAATAGCTCAGTACGGATGCAGTATGATGACCCCGTCTGTGAAAAGAGTACCATGGCCGCCCCTGGAGAATCTGTACACAACCTGTCAATCAACTACACTTTACAAATTCAAGGGAATTAGATGAAAATTAGCCATCCCAGAGACCTACCATTGCCTCTCTCCTAGTTAAGGCCTATCTAAAATGATATACTTCTTGCATTGAATGTCCATGTCATAGTTCAGTAAACCATCTTAAAGTTTAAAACCAACGATAATTTATTTATTTATTTTTAATACAGACAATATATTTACACGAAGACCATACAATGGGCTAAACCACACAATGTGCTGCCATAATAATTTGATGTCTAACTCGCTATCCACCAGAGTCGAACCTAAGACCTCCCACTTTCTAGGAATACTATCAAACCGTAATACTAAGTGGCAAAAACCATTGTCATCAATAATTTCAATTCTCTTTTCCATGCATAATTTTCCCCTTTTTCTTTCCCTTAAAAAAATCAAAACTTAACAACCCTACTAACAAATTAGAATATTCAATCACAGCCACTACAGAATACAGAAGGTGCATAACTGTATAATTGAATGGCCCAACAAAACAAGTATTTATAAAAAATAAAAAAAACCCTAAACAGCGTTATCATAGGATATCAAAACTGAAAATTAAACATTTAACGTTTGAAATGTAAATACAATCAAATCATTCGAAATCCAAAAACTGTGTATGCAACCTCCCACGGTAATTAACACAACCAAACTTCAAAATTGAGGCTCTGAAGATTAAAACTTGGCAACTGCAGGTAGGTTAAAATTAATCCAACAATAAATTATCAGATAAAAATTTATTGGAGGATTTACCTGGATAGCTGAGAATTCAGTCGCAATTCAAATCAAGGATTTTGCAAGAAGCTGCTGACTAGGGATTTTGGATTGCTCTCTAATAGAGAGAGATTCAGAGAGACACAGAAAAAATCAGAGGAGAGAGAGACAGAGAGACAGAGAGAGCCTCCCCTGTGCTGCTGATGAAAAGAAAGCACAAGCAGGTTTTTTTGGATGAGAAATTAAATAGTGGTGCGGCGGCTCAAATGATCCAGGTCCACTCCGGATCAGTTATCTCCAAACCAAATAATATATTTGGAAATTTTATTTCAACTCATATAATTTCTTTTTATCCTAATTTAAATTTTAAATGTTAATTGTCTTTTTACTATCACTTTCAAGATGAAATTAACAATGAAACTATAATTTATTAATAAACCCACACCCAATAATAATCTCTATCATCATTCTTTGTTTATATTACATTTATTTCATCTAAAACCCTAAGAACTCTTATAGAAAAAAACAAGTTTTTTTATCGATGGATAATGATTTTGAAGTTTTGAATTCTCAAACTAAGGTATGAAGCGATTTATGCAAATTTTGTTTTCATTTGTTTCAAATTTTTTTAGAGTTTAGAAGATAGGTTTTCGGTTCATATTAACGTCAGCGGATTCGGTTCATATTAGCATCAGGTTTTGGTAGTCTAATCTCATATGTTTTTGAGAGACGACGTAATGTAATATGACATATCTTTTGCTGCAAAAGTGAAGTTTCTTTGAAAATTTATGGAAACAAGTCTCTCTCTTTCTCACGCAGACCCAGTTTCTTTGAAAACACAACCTTTGAAGTATCTTCTGCTGCTCAAGCAATTCCATTAATTCTTGCATGCAATTGTGTTGTGCTATATCAACTATGGGCGTATTGTTGTACTACATTAACGAAAGCACTAATGCAAATAAAATCACGGGGATAAGGATATTCAAGAAAACAAGAAATTGAAGCGTTAGGTATATGGAAGATTCATAAACAAGTAGAAATTTTACTGAATTAATCAACTTGTCCACAGAAGTTGAATTCCAAAAAGCTTTCATTCCCATCAACAATGGAAACTTCACCAAATTATTTAATTTGAGATTTATTTTCTTTAATTAAATGGGTATAAAGATAAATTTATATTTTGAATTGGGTTTGGAATGATAGTTTAGGTAGTAAATTTGGGTTTAAAAGAGATACTATTTTTCATTCCCATCAACTTGTCCACATAACTAATATTTGTTGTTGACATAAAATCGTGTGGGATCAACTCTATCCAGAAATCTCTAAACCGAATAATATTAGTCAACGATGTAAAATCGTGTGAGGTTAGTTCTGTCTAGAGCTCTCCGAACCAATAAATATTAGTTGGAGACCAAATAATATTTGTCGTTGACGTAATATCGTGCGGGATCAGTTCGCTCCAGAACTCTACGAACCGATTAATCGTCGACCTAAAATCATGCGAGATTAGTTCTATCCAGAACTATTTGAACCAAATAATATTAGTAGAAAAAGGTAAGCAAAATCCTCCATTTCATTATTGTCAATGTTTGTCGTTGCCATTTGTCTTCAAGTAGGACTTATATGCAGCTGTTGTGCGTCATGAGCTCCTAAAGCCAATCACCAACTATAGCCTAATGTAGAAACAAGAGCATTAATCTAATGACCATCAACTCATATTTATCCAATCTAGCTTTCGACATTTAGAGGAAAACTTTTTGGAGCGACATCTTCGTTGATGCAAATTTTCGCCATCTCTAACTTTGACGAAAAAGCACCTGCAAAACAATCAACATCTTTGATCAAGAACCTAAGGCTTATGCGCCCACAAGGTTAGGGGGAGGGGGGGTTAGGCCAATGGATCTCCAATGCTTAAGTTAGTTTCTCTGAGAAGAGTAAAGTGTTTAGGGCTTTTAGGGGTAGCAAAAGCTTACCGAAATTTGGTAGAATAAGGGATATATATAGAGGAGTGGCCGGCCATGCTGTTACGGTTTTACCCTACCCATAGCGACATCCTATTGGCCAAGTTTTTATGGAGAATTGTTCTCAAGATATTAAATAGGAAATAATATATTGAGATAATGGGGTAATTATCCCTAATTGATTTAAATAAGGATTACTTACTTGAATGGAGTCAATATTCAATTGGGAATGTATTAAACATAGGATTTGGGTAATTAATCCTTATTTTTAATGCTTTGACTTTTCCTTGCCAATGGCAAGTGAGCTGTAGGCAATCGTATTTAGCTATTGGGACCTTCAAGGGTGTGAGCTGCGCGTGGGAGTATCTGAGGAGCTTGCTGATTTAATGAGGGCAATCTTGTCTTTCTTGAGCAAAAGTTCACATGTCACCTTTAGAATTTTTGGGATTATTTTAGGCTCCACAAATACCCCCACACCTGTTGGGCTGTAAGTAGAAAAAAGGGGAGTAGGTGTAGAAATCTCAAGCTGCATAGGCTTGTAGAGTTGTTTTCCAATTTGAACTTGATCACCTTCCTTGATTTAGAGATAGACTTCTTCTAGGAAAAGGAAACTAATTGCCCCCAATATTCTAGGAAAAGGAAACTAATTGCCCCCCATACCTATTTAATTCTGCCTTAAGCAGGGGATTAAATAAATTTGGAGAACAATCATCATTCCAACAAGGAAGAGAGAAGCTAGAGGAAATTTGTTCCCCCTCCCCTAGCTTTCTTCTTCTCTTGCCCTTGCAAAGAGTCGTCTCACGTTGTTGTTCTTCTTCGCCGTGCCACACAAAGGTAAGAAAATTTTTAATTTTCTTCTTCTTAATTTTTTGGAACTTCGGGGCTTGAAAAATTAGCTCAGCAAGGGCTGAAAAGGCGTGAGAAACGTGGCAGGGGTGCCACAGGGCTGCTGTGCTGCAATGGACAGCGTGGGCTACTAGTGGTGCAGCACAGGAATCGACTCAGCTTGAGCCAAGGTGCTAGAAGTAAGAGCAAAGCTAGGCACGCAGCTGGCATGGGCTAGGTGATGGCTCGGCACGAGCCAAAGGCGGGGGGCGGGGAGCGGAGCTGGGCTCAGGCCCGCTAGAGCTTGTAGGAGAAGGAGAGAGGCGTAGGGCGCTCACCCCCCTCGTTGGTGGACTGGGCCAAGAAGCCTTTAGGCCAGCAGTGGTGCGCTGGGCACGAGAGAAAGAGCTAGAGTCCAGGCCGTGAGGCTTGGCGTGCTGCTGGGCTCCTAGGGTTTGGGCATGCACTAGAGGAGAGAGAGAGAAAGTGAGGACTAGGCCCTCTTATGGCCTAGGCGTGTAGGTGAGCTGGGCCATGGGGCTTAGCGCTGGGGCGCTGGGCTCTACAATCCTCTTTTTTTTATTTTTTATTTTTTATTTTTTTGTTTCTCTTCTAACGAGCTGCCTTCTAATATTTTTCTTCGTACTTTTGTAGGGATATTGAGATGTCTTCCTCTGATTGCAAAACTGACGAATACCCTCCACTTTTATACCACCAAGGTGGTTCTTCCAGCAAGGTGGCCTACTTCAAGACGGCACATGTCAAGATCAATTCTGATGAGCGGTTTCGGGATTTTCTTAAGACGTGCAAGTATGCGATTCCGTCAGGGGTTCGCGTCAAGCGGGTGAAGGATGATAGTGGCCATGAACCTTGCGGAGAGGGTGTCATTGGTAGGAGGAGGGCTATTAAATTCCATTTGTATTACTTCTTGTTGGGATTTACTTTTCCCATGCCGCGTCTTTTTTCAGGAAGTGATCTACCCCATGAAATGCAATTCTGCTCAGTGTTCCCCAAATGCAGTTCGTGCGATGGTGGCGTTGTCTAACTTAAGTAGGTTTTTTTTATCTTGGCTTGACCATAAGTTCTGATACTTCTTTGAAATCGGCCACAAGGAAGGTATGGGGCAGCTGATGTCTCGCGATAGGCTACTTGATGCTTTCTGCAAAGGTGATAATGGGTGGGCAAGAGATACCTTGGAGGTAAGTGGAAAGTGGGAGTCTGAATCCTCTCCTGAGCTGTGTGTTCCGACTGTCTTTATCAATGGTAAATGAACTACTTCATTCCTGGCCTGCTTGAATTTTTGTTAAGTTACTCCATGACTTTCGTTTATTGATAATCCTTCTTACTTTGTGTAGATTCAGAATTTGGCTCAACTCCAAGAACTTCGGCGGACATGAAGAAAGTGCACATCGATTTGGCCATTCATGCTGAGTACCGTAAGAGGTGCTGGCTGCTCAGTCTTATTCGTCGGGAGAAATGTGACATGTCTCCAAATGAAGAGATAAAGTGGATATAGGATCAGGCTCTTTCTCACCCCATCACCGCTGTAGAGCCTACTGCCAATAAGGGTGGAAAGAAGAAACATTCCTTACCTGCTTGTGAACCTTCGGCAGAGAAGTAGACAAGGACTTCTTCTGCTACTTGCAGGGGCTCATCTACTACTAAAAAGCTTGTCATCAATCTGACTTCTCCCAAAGGGACGAAAAAGACCGTTGAGTCAAAGCCTGTGAAACCTGATGCTCCGAAGGCAGCCACGACCATTGCTGAGAAGATTGCCCAACGGAAAGGTTCGGTGGTGCCACCGGTGTCTGGGTTTGTGTCAAAACGCATATCAGGAGCCAAGTTCGATTTGGCTTTTGAGAGGCTCACCGCTATAAAGAACGGGAAGATGGATTCTGCTACTAAGATAACGCCTAGGCTTGTTCCTTCTTTCATTATGACTGATTCATCTGCTGAGAAGGGGAAGTTTACTTGCATGGACAGTTGTGAGAGATCCACCGAGTTTGAAGCTGGGAGTTTCCAGAAGTTTGTTCGTTGTTGAAGGCTGACCTGCTTGAGGACGTTGATGTATGTGCCAAGTTTGTTGATAGTGTTAAGAAAGTTGTCGTCTGCTCAGACTCTTTTGTGAAACTTCCTACCTACTCGATGAGGTCTTCCCTAATTGCTACAATGCATAAGACTTTGATGATGTGGTATAAACTCACACACAAATTAAACCCTATAAATTATGCAATTGTAGTACGAGTAAGTAGGGATCCTTCTATTCCGGGGATTAGAAGAGATGTTAATCAACACAAATTAAACTTATTAAACTGAAAACTAAGTTAAACTAACAACAAAACAATGATTGGGGGATTTTGGACGAATTTAATTAAAACAAAAGAAAATGGCAGCAAGTAAATTAAGTTGTGAATGAAATATGGATGAAATGATAGCTAAATGATTCTTCTCCACACATGAATCATATGCATACAAATCGATTTCCA